TATTAAAATGCGTGACCTAAGGGCAGGAAAAGATAGACAATTAAAAAGTTTATAAAATTGTCACCTTATAATTTTGTAAAAACTAGTAGGTATATTTCGTGTTTAAAAATATAAAATAAAAATTATCAAGAGAAGTACTTTCTTTTACTAAAAAAATTTTTTTTTGCATTTTTCATCAACTTTTTTTTTCTAATTTTCTTAAGTAAATTTAAAAGTAACGGAAGGAAAAAAATTAAAAAAAACGAATTTTTTTATTAAAAATATCTTCAAGAAAGGATTATAATAATAATAATAAAGGTTTTTTTAGATAAAACTAAAAATTAAAGAAAACCATCATTTATTTAAATTTTTGTGCCAAAAAATTTTAATGAGTGAGAAATTAATGGAGAGGAAATAGTTTTTAATGAATATAAAAAAGAAGATGAGAGAGAAAAAAATAAGAAATTATGGCCAAAAAATGGGGAAAAAAGGAATAAATAAATGACGAGAGAAAATAATTAAAAGGAAAAAATAACGGGTTGGGGGATTTAGGCACAACGTTTGGAGCTTCGGGGGGGGGGGGGGGTTGGAATGAAATAAAAGTCAAAATTCTCCTTAGGATCGAACAGAAAATCGACCAATTCCAAGTTATTTGCCTAAAAATAATTTTGAATTTATTTTTAAAATATTCTTTATAAGGGCATCTAAATCCTCTATATTAATTTAAAAAATTACTCCTATAGTACAATCTACCGTAAATGCTGGAATAATGCCTCTCTCTCAAATAATTACCCCTTTTAATTACCACCTTCAGCGAGAGGTTGAAACAATAATTACCCGGGGTAATTATTATAGCAAATAATATATGTAGATCATTTAGAAAATTTCCTCATTTGTTAAACCAAAAATTTTGAAATTAATAAAATTTAAAGATTTTAGATTTTTATTGAAAACAGTTTGAAATTGATTTAATAAATCCATTAAATAGAAAGAATTGGCAGCTAATTAAATAGAACAAAAAGGAAGATAATTAGAGAGAGAAATTAAAATTGATTTAAATTTTTATAGAATTTAAGGGATTAAATAAACATAAGAATATTTCAAGTAATTAAATTCAAAAAATAAATTTTTAGTTTTCTATTTCTCAATAAAATTCAATTTCAACGTTTTAATTTTTAATTTTTTTTGATTAAAGAATGGATATCAACTACATATAGGGCCAGTCGGCACTTTTTTGAGTAAAAATTGGTATCGAAAATTAAAAATATTTTTTATAAATTAAAATTTATGTATAATTTTCTAAACTATGTAGATACATGTATTAGTAGATTAATTTTTGTTTATAAAAGAGGCAGCCGAAAAATAAACAGTTGTTTATAGTATGTATATACTGGGATTTTTTAATCAATAAAGAATAAACAAAATTTAAATAAATTTATAAAATCTCGAAATGGAAACCCGCTGTGACCAAAGAATAAATTTTTTAAAACGAGAGGGTCTCTTATTGTTATGGGTTAGTTGTTTCGAGTTCTGAGGGTATTTAATGTTTTGTGGCTCCGACATCTTTAAAATATTTGTTTCGCCACCAGTTCTACAGTCATTTGATATGTAAAGAAAAATACCTTATATAAAGAATTTATAGGTAAATTAATTAATAACGTAAAAAACTAACAAAAACTTTTACTAAATGACTGATAAATAAACAGATTGTTCTAATTTTGTCTGGCAAAATTTAATTTTAATTTTTATTCTGTTTAAATTTAAATACCTATTCAATTTCCATCTTCTTTTAACTAAAAATTAATTTGCAAAGGAAAGGAAATAAAATTTAAAAGAAAATGAGGTAATTTAAAATAGATAGATAAATTTTTTGAATTAAAAGTAGGCATTAAAAATTTATTAAAAAATGAATAAAAAAATGAAATGAGTGATTAAATAAAAAAAGGATTTGGAGGAGAAGATATTTTGAGATAAAATGACGTTAAAAAAAGAAGTGATTGGAGATTGAGAATGATTGAATAGTAGATTAATTGTGAAAATAAACAGAAGAATATACCTACTACATAAATATATTAAATATATCAATTTTCAAAAAGTACAACAACTAAAAAAGTAAAATGAAAAAAAAGTATATTTTAATGCCAACTGTTTCTAAATTAATATAAAAATTAAATAAATAATATATTTTTGTCATTTATTTAAAAAATAAAAAAATATAATTTTAGAAAAATTGCAAAAAAATGAAAAATAAATTTTAAATGAGGAAAAAAGAATAAAAAGTAAAGGAAAATTCTTTTTAAAAAAACCCTTCCCCATAATTTACTTTTTAAAAATAAAATTACGTAAAAAATGGAAATAACGCTTTTTCTCAATTTATTTTTTAACCAAATTTAAAAGAAAGTAGAGACAAACAGAAATTATTCTGGCGGAAATTTTAAACTTTTAAGGATTAGAAAAGAAAGTTTTCTTTTGGTTTTGAAGAAAATTGAAATAATTTTTTTGTTTGGATATTTACAGTGTGACACAAAATAATAAGACCACCCCCAAGTTCCGACATTAAGGGAGTTCGAAAAATCTACAAAAATTCAGATAAATTTATCTAGCGATATCAAGAAAAAATACAAAAGATAAAAATATTTTTTTGAAAAAAAAATAAAAAGTTAAATCACAAAATACAGTCCCAAAATCTCCTTCCCCTTCTCTCCTTTCCCCATAATTATACAAAAAAATAAAAACAAACTGTAACTGTGTAAATAAATTTCTAGATATTTTTATAGCCTCTTAAATTAAATCCCAAAAATATTTTAAGGAAGTAATTAGAGTTGGACAAAACCGTTTAATTTTGAAAAAACCGTATACCGTTTATGCCGTTTATCTGAGACCCGTATACCGTTTCGTTTAATTTTTAAAACCCGTTTAAACGACCGTTTACCGTTTATTTTTAGAATTTTTTAAAAATAATTCATAATTCAAAAAAATCAATGAAAAATCATTAATTATGATCATCCCTCTTCATAAAAATTATAATTCAACTATAAATTCATCATATCGATGGATTTAGAGGGATAAGGAAGGGCTGAAGAGATGCCTGGTGATTAAGAGTGATATCAGTGGTTTTGGATATTTGGAGGATTTGAATATATATTAGAGAATTGAGGTGGGATATCGGTAGATCATAAGTTATTAAAGGGGATCAGAGGATTAAGAGATCATAGGATTATTATATCTAAGGATTATGGTGATGTAATGGGATTTAAGAGGATTGAGGTGATTTGAAGGAATATCAGAGGATTAAGGTGGATATAATGTGATTTAGAGCGATTGAGAGATTCGAAGGCAAATTGGGGATTTGAAGGGATAATAAGGATCTTCCTTTTCTTCCATTTTTTGCGCCGCAGGCAAAAATTCTGAAAATTTATAAAAGTCAGAAGCCAGAATTTTGATAATTTTGGAAGGCAAAGAAGCCAGAATTCTTCTTTTCCAGCGCCGCAGGCGAAAATTTTTTGATTTTTGTGTGTCAGAAGGCAAAAATTCACGTTTTAAGCCACTAATTCTAAGAAAAAATTAAACGAATTAAATGGCGTTTAGAAGGACCGTATACCGTTTATGCCGTTTATCTGGGACCCGTTTACCGTTTCGTTTAATTTTAGCAAAAACCCCGTTTATCGTATACCGTTTACCGTTTAGCTAAACGGTTTTGTCCAACCCTAGAAGTAATATTCAAAAAATAAATTCAATTATTATTTAAAAATTCAAAGTACAGACTTTAATATTTCTTTAAAATTTTGGATTTATAAAAATATTTTAATAAAATATTCAAAAAATATATTACCGGAAAAACATAAAAAATATTTTATTATGCAAAATAACAAAAAAGAGAATATATACTAACATCATTTTCTTAATTAAATTGAAAATAAAAGCAAGGAGAACTTTGAGCTTTTATTTTTAAAATAAAAAGTTGAGAGAAAAAAGTTTTTCTTTTAAAATTAAGTTTAGCAAAAATAAAATTTTGCAAAAATTTCAAAAGGTTGAAAGAAAATGTTGGAAAGGTTGGAAAAAAAATAAAAACATTAATTCATTCAAAACAACTTACCCCTTTATTATTATTATTTCCATTATGTAAAAACATTAAAGACCGACAATTTTCACAACTATTAGCTAATATTTGAACAATTTCTAATTCACAAACACTCGCTCCTCGACATTTTTGTTTTCTTTTATTTAAAATAATGCTGCTATTTCCACTTTCTATAGTATCTGAACGTGAACGAATTTCTCCTTCTTTTTCTTCTTCATTAATGCCAAAAACAGCAGAAATTTTATTATTTTCTTCGTCTTTTCTTTTCGGCATTCCGTCAAAAAAATGATTTTTACGTCGATGTCTTTCTCTAATTATATTTAGGGGAGTACTACAAACTTCTCCAATTAATGGATTAAAATAACAACCCACTCCGGAGACTGGGGGAGAATAATAATGATGTTTTAATAAAGATTTTGGTGATCCTGCTCCAGTTACTAAAAATTAAAATTATTAGAGAAGGAAGGGTAATTAAAAAAGAAAAATTAAAAAATGGGCGAAAATCTAAATTTTGAAAAGAAGAATTGAGGGAAAAGAAAATGGAAAAAGGAACGATAATTGGAAGCTGGAATATTATAAAGAGATTTAAGAACAATAAATAAACAACTCCAAAAGTCAATTTAAGAGAATAGAAGTAATCTTTATCCAAATGATTATTCTATTGTGAGAATTTTGAAACCTCTATTATTTATAGGATTGGCTTATCCGGCGGATATGCGAAAATTTTCGGTTCTGATATCGGTTCCGGATATTCGGGGATCCCCATTACCCTCAACCCTAATTATTTAGTTGTTAAAATTTGTGAGGGTCTTTTTCAAGGCTGTCGCCAAATACGGATTTTTTTGGCTGAGAACAGCTCCTGTTAAAGATTTTTTCCAAAAAATAAATTCAATTTTTATTAAAATATCACTTAACACAATTCCCCTCCCAATATTTCCCTTTAAATAAAATACCCACTCAAGCGTCTAAATCCAGGATCTCTTTTAGCAATTTGTTGCCCCGCCTTTAATAAATTTTCCAAATCTGAATGTGCTCTCATTGACTTTTTTAAAAGCAAGGGAGGTGGAGGGACTAAAATTCTTTTTTTAGAATCTGGAATTGACGGTTTATTGCTTAAAAGTTTTTGAAGTAAAATTTTTTGTTGTTGGGATTGAGGCTGGGGAAGAAGTTGTTCTTCTTCTTCCTCTAATATTAAATATCCCTCTTCTTCGCCTTCCTTTACAGAAATTTTATTAATTTTTTCTTCTGCCATTTTTTTTGTTAAAAAATATTTGTATTAATTATTTTTATTTGGTAATGACGTGTTTTTCTTTTATTTAAAAAACAAATTTTAGTAATGGATTAAATTGTTGTTTTTTTGTCTTTAATTGCTTTTTTACCCAAATCTCAATTAAAAATTAAATTAGTAAATATTTTTTGTTTTAATATTGATAAAATACTTTTCTTAATTAATTAATAAATACAATTATATAATTAGAATCTTTAAAAATAAATAAAAAAATATATAAAAAAAGGAAAAAGATTTTTTGTAAAAATCCAGAATTTCTGGTTTTTTGGTTAAAAATTTAGAAAATTATGATTTAATAAACTAGCGGAAACAAACATTTTAACAAAAAAATTTTTTAAGGGATTTTATGTAAAATTTATAAAATTTTAAAGTTACTTAATATTTGCTTATTTATAAATAATTGAGAGTATTAATTAATTGATTTTAGTTTTTAGTACAAACATCTTAAAACTTTTAAATTTACTTTTAAAAAAGCCTTTCAAAGTATTAATTTTTATTATCCCATAAATTAATTTCTTATAGCTTATCTCCCTTCACCCAAAAGTTAACAGAATTTTAAAAGGCTATGAAGGAAGTATTGTATACTTTTATATCCCTGCTGTATTAAGTTCTTAAAAATCTTTTAAAAAATATTTTTAAGAAAAGAATATTTTAACAAAAAATACTTGTGTGTATGTAATACGAGCAAAATCTGTCGGCATTAAAAATAAAAAAATCGTCAGAGCGAAAAAATAAAAATGCCTTAAGTAAAATAAAAAAATCTCCGTCTTTTTTATTTCTAATTTACACTTTTGCTTTGCCATTTAATAGTATTTTTATCTGGTCAATTATTTTGAGGCAAAAATTGTTTTTTAAAAAATAAAAGAAAATTTATGTACTTTACCTACTAAAATATTTAACTCAATTCTTTAAAGTCAAATATTTTTCTTTTTTTTTAATAAAAAGGAAATGAAAAATTAAAATTAAAAAAATGAAAGAAAAAAATTTAATAAGCAGAAAAATACAAAAATAAAAAGGAAATAAATATTCTTTTAAAAAATAAAAGTTTAGCACAGAAAAATAATTTAAAAAATGTGTAAAAAATTTTTTATTTTAAATTTAATTTAAGAAAATAATAACAAAAATTACTGGATATTTTTTCAAAATATTTTTAACTAAAATTAAAAATTCCCTATTATCCTTCAAAGGATAATTTCAACAAAAAATAAAAATCAAAGGACCTCTATTGAAAGATAACCTCTTTAAATCCTAATCAGTCAGTTGTTAAAATTTATTTGGCTACCCCCAAACATCAAAACAATCTCCCCAATACACTTTTTTAATTACATATCTTATAAGGAGATCCTTCCTCCCTCTTTCTCAATAAAAAGAAAAACAAAAAAACCCACCATTCCAATATTTGTTTCCCCATTATAAGGATTATCGGCAACATGAGGAATGCCTAGATCAGTCAAAGCAGTCTTTAAATTAATTGTTTATAAAAATTAATTAATTAATTAATTAATTTACAGCAGAAGCACTTCCATCGATTAAATTCCCTCCTCCTTTCTGATTTATTAAATTTCCATCAGAATTTAAAAGGACAGTTACAGCTCTAAGACAAGCAGTTACTTGGGGGGATAATAAATCCCGTCTTTCGTTGTTACTGGCCAATAAATCCATTAAAAGACCTCTTGCCGAATGGACTTGGCTTAGATTCTTTAAATTAAAAATAAATTAATTTGGAGATTAAATAAATTATTTGAATTTATTATTTAATTGAAGGGAGAACAAAAATACTACACTTTTAGGTATAAAGGATTGAAAAATAATGTTCGGTCATTATTTTTTAGAGAATGAAAATATCAGAAAATCAGAATATGGTCATTATTGATGTGTAGCCACAAACTTTTTCTATATTTATTATTTAATTAAAAACAAATTAGTAATTCAAAAAAAGTTAAAAATTAATTTTTCTTCTTCTTTTCTAGTTTAATATTTTCCCAATTTTTTAATTTGTAAAAATCATTCATCAAAAAATTGTTAAATTTTAAAGAGTCCAAACGGAAATGTTTTTAAAGAAAATTAATTTCAATGAAAATGTTTACTCATAAATAATAAAAAGAAAATTTTTTAATTAAATGAAGGGAAGAAAAAATTAATTAAAATTATTATTTTATATTTAAAAACCTATAATTTACCTATGTAAATTTAATAAAATTTAGACAAGGAAAAGGCGCTTCTAAAGAGATATACTAAATAGAGGACCTTAAATAATTTAAAATAGAAAAAATAAAAGAAATAACCAAATTTTGGCGATTTGACTGGACAGGTAAAGAAGTACGGCGAAAAGGTGGAGGGGATAAATTAGTTGAAGAAGTAATTAAATTATTTGGATGGATGGAAGATAGAGAAGCTCTTTGACGATTTTTGTGTTTTTGCTGCTTTTTCTCAGTGTTGTCGCTAATTGTTGGAGGAGATTCTTTTTTAGAAAGAAAAAATAATTATTGAAAAATTAAATTAAAGATGGATAAAAACATTTCGCAGAAATTAAATGTCTTTATTGGACCGGGAGTTGAAAAACAAGAAAGAGGAGGTGGGATTACACAGAACTTCGATGGACAAAAGATTCTTTGGTACCAATCTTTTTTTTTAAATATGAATATGTATTGCACCAAAATTGGATTTAAACAGTAGAAGGTAGGGATGCACAAGACTGAAAATTTTTCAAAACTCGAGACCAAGACTGGGCCCCAAAAAACTCGAAAACCGAAGTATCCGAAAGTCTATAATACACTTATAAATTATTAAAAATCTCCATCAAAAAGACAAAAAAATAATTTTTTCAAAATTATTTTACCTTCAGAATTTAAAAAGAAAGTAACAACAGAACGTCCTTCCCCCAAAACAGAATTACTATTATTATTTGAATTTTCTTCCATCGAATATTGTCTAAATCTTCTTCCATTTTTTCCTTTAATTAATTCTGAATTTAAATTTGGATTTTTTAATATAGATTTTGTGTTTCCATTATTAAATAAATAATAATCAGAATTTGTTGATGAATTATTACTTCCCATACTTTGAGTACGGTTACGGGTAGAAGACGGAGAAGATTTGTTGTTAATTGAAGACATTTTCTAAAATAAATTAAAAAGAAAATTACCGTATTTACTCAATCCCCGTGCCAGGGATAGGCTGAAACAATAATTCCACAGGGGAATTAATCGAGTAAAAATACGATATTTAAACTTAAAAAAACTCTTTAATATAATGGAGGAATATGTAAAAAATTGTCTATTAGGTATAAATAAAGCGAGAATAAAATGCCGACAAAAATTTAATTCTAAAAAATAAAATTAAAAGTGTATATAGGGGAAGGAAATAGAAAATAGAAAAGGAAGAATCTAAAAACACTGAGACTAAGATCCATGTTGGGCCAAGTTCGAGGCAGTTTTTTAAAATTCTTTTTATTAAACCGGTCCATTCGAACGTTCTTCGAGCCTATACGATGTCGGGGTACTCAAAGAAGACGGAAATCTTCATCTAGTTTGTAAAGAGAATTTAAAAAATGTTATTTAAATTTTGAAGAATTGAGAATTATTTTAAATTTATTAAAAATAAAATTGAATGATTTATCAAAAAATAAAAAGTAATAAATAAAAGTAAAGAGAAAAATTGAAAAATAAAATGATGAAATTAATGAAACAAATAAACTACTAAATAATTTTATTAAAAAAAATTTTTTTGTAAGATAATAAAAATAAATTAATGGCTTTTTTTAATTGAAAAGATGAATAAATAAAAATATTTTTTTAAATTTTAATTTATTTTTAAGAGGATTTGTAATTAAAATTGATTAAATTTTAATTAAAATTACTAACTATATAAAATTTAAAAAAAAGTCAAATTTATATGCAATAATATTTTTTAATATTTTTTGAAAGGCTTTAAATAAAAAAAAGATATAAAGATTTATTTTTGTAAGGGTCAAAGGTATTCTCGGAGTTTGTTTCCTATAGTTTATAGTCATTTTATTATTATTCATTTCCCTCCCACTTTTCTCACACATTTATAAGGATTTGTAATCACCTTACAAGGGTCTTATTGTTCTTTCACTTTAATAAAAGAATTAAATAAATGTTTTAATATTTGGATTTAATAAATATATAAATTGTGTTCAATTGTGTATGCCTGGTGCAGGAGATCAACTGAGGGCCTGATCAACCCTAAGTTTATCCTAGGAAGTCCCGGGCATATTCCCTCCCGTATTCCATAATTCTGGGGTTTGGGCCCACCACATTGGTAATATCGTACTTTGGGGGTCCCACCTCTACTGGTAGCACCGGTCCTTCGACATCGACGTGGATACCGGGAGGTAAGTGTAATTTTTTTAAATTTATATATATTAAAACTAAAAATTAAAGTCCTAAATAAAAAAAAAAATAATTTTTGTGAAAAACTATAAGACCCCGGGGCATGTAAATTTTGGGAATAAAAATAAATAATAAAATTTTAAGTTTTGTGGTAGCCGGCGTAAAACCACTTATATAGACTTCCTTCGGGAAATAAAAGGATTAAAATATATATATACATAAATCTAAAATCTATCTTTTCTTTCTCTAATTTCTTATTCACAAAGTCTAAATTTCTGAAAATCTAAAATTTGTCGAATATTGTCTTCCTTCGGGAAATAAAAGGATTTAAAATAAATTATTCTATATCTATTCATTCTCTAATTATTAATTTCCGAAATTCCGAAAAGTCTAAAAATTTTCAAATATTGTCTTCCTTCGGGAAATAAAAGGATTTTTTAAAATTTATTATTTCTTTCCAATTTTTTCTTCTACGTCTTAAAGTCTAACTTTCTGAAAAGTCGAAAATATTTTCTTCCTTCGAGAATTTACAGGATTTAAAGTGGTGATCTTTTGGAATGGCTGAATATTTATTATTAATGCACATCTTGTTATTATTAACCTTTGAACATTCCTTTTCCTCTGAAGATATTTTTTTTACACTTAAAAGTTTTTCTCAACATTACTTAACATTTTTAACATCCGCTTAAAAGTGTTTTTTTATTATAGTGGTGATAGAATCTCGAATTTATGTTTCCTTCACTTAAAAATTTACAATAATATTTTTCCCGCCAGCAAACATCTCCCTTATTTTTACACACCTTCCACTTTATCCTTTTGAATGTATTTTCTCAATGAATAATTTTTTTTCTCTATTATTAAATCATTTTTATTTTTTTCTTCACTTTAGAATTTTATTCTGTATCCATTAAATAAATATTTATTATTTACTCCTTTCTATAATATTTATATTAATTTCTTAACAATTAAATATATTTTTTTCAGAACTCTTAAAAAATAATTCTTCTAATTTTCTAATACGTGCTTCGGCTATATCCTGGATTTGAATTTTGGGCTCTGTAAGTTTAAATCATTTCTTTTAAAATTTAAAAATAAACAAGAAAATTAGAAAATTATTTTTATTTCTTCTTTCAAAATACTCAATTTCTGATTTTTCAGAGAAATCAGCAAATTGTATCGACTGAGCTGTGGACTTCTGAACTCTTGTGTTTGGATGTGAGTTTGCTTTTAACAATTACAAGAAAAAATAAATTTAAATAATTAAAAAAAAAGAATTTTTTTTATCCCTTTCCCTCATCTTAAAATTTCTGAAAAGTCTAAAATTCTTAAAATTCTATTTATTTCAAAAAATCCCTATATTTTTTAAATTTTTAATTTTACTTCACTATATTGATAATTGTTATATAAATGTAATTTTTAAGTATAATTATACGAAATTCAATTTTTAGGTATTTAATCAGTTTTTTTAGAAATAATTTTTAAATATCTTTAAAATATTTTACAAATTTTATTTTTCGCTTTCTTCATCTCTAATCAAATAGTTTCATTATGATTATCTGACATCCTTTAATATTCTTTTAACCAAATAATTTTTATTATTTTTCAGAACATATTCCTGCTTCGGCTATAATTTTGGATTTAATTTTTTTTCATTGGACTAGATTTTCAAACAAATTTCAATTTGTTTGATCAGTGTGGAATTTCTGTTGTTTTTGGAAGTGAGTTTAAATTTAAAAAAAAAACAAATAAAATTTATTTTTCTCTTCTTAGTTCAGTCCTTTTCTCTCTAAAACTCTCAAAAATTCAATTTTTAATTTTATTTTTCTGATATTTATACAGTATATATTTTTGGCATCTTATTTATTTTTGGAAAATTTTATTTTTGTCACTTTTAGTTGGAATTTTCTTAAATTCCCTTTTAACACTATTTAGAAACTAAATTTTTAAAGGTCTTTAGAGAAAAATATGTCGGTTAGAATATTCCCCTTAGTTTGAAAAAATTATTATTTTTATTGAAAAAACTATCTGGATTAAAATTTTTTTAATATTTAAAAGCAAACAAAATTTTAAATTCTGTATATATTTATTTTTATTTTATTTTCTAGGTATTTATTTTACAAATTCATTTTGTTCAATTACTGTTCTTGTACTTTCTAATTGCTTTCCTTTTTTTTTCTTTTCACTCTGATTATCTATTCAATTTTTCTTTAAAATTATTTTTCACCCTAAAGTAAATATTTAAATTGAAAAGAGAGAGAGAGAAAATAAATTAAAATAATTTTTTGATTGGCTGAAATTAAGTTGAGAGTTTAGAAATTGATAAAGGGAAATCTTAAATTAAAAGTGACCTTCCTGGATTTACCTGGGCTTATCTTGACCTTCCTGGGTTTATCTGGGACTGGGTTTTTCCTGGACTACAGGCCCAGAATCCGACCAAGGTCAATAATTCAAATCCGAAACTCAGGAACAGGCCCAGGCTTTTCAAAATTTCCGATCTCTATTTCCAAGTTTTTATTATTCTAGCCTCATATATGTTAATATTTTCTTTATTATTTTGACTCCCTTTTATTTGAAAATTTAAATTATTTTTCTCTCCAGTCTTCTGTATTTTGTTCACTTTAATTAGCCAAAAGTGGGACTGAGAAAATTTAACCAATAGGAAGATAGAAAAACAACTAAAAAAAAGTGTTCAGAGAAGTACAAAATGAGAAAGAAAACATAATGTTTAATTTATTTATTTATGAGAAATGATATATTTAAGGAGTCAAATACAGTAGAATATATAAAATCTATAATGGTAATTTTTGGCTAATTTGTAGCTTAAGACCAGGAATTTGAAAAGTTCGAACTCTATTTGTTACTGTCATAAAATATTTTTCTTGTTATTTTTTTAAAATCACTTTTCTTCGGATTCCTACAAATTTGAACCTTTTAATTTTCATACATTTACCTTCCAGCTTTTAGAATAGAATTAATTTTTACTATATTTTCCTTACAAATATTTTTTTGTCTAGAATAGTACATATAATTAAGCATTAAAAAGAAACAAATTTAAAAAGAATTTGTAAAAATACTTTCCCCTTTCTTAGGGAAAACTATTTCACCTTCCTATTCTTTAATAGGGAATTAAAATATCTTAAATTAATTATTCCCTCGGAATAATTAACTAGATAAAACAAATTAAATAAATAAACACAAACACAACTAAAATTCTTTATCTTCAAACAAAATAAATATTCACACAGAATATTAAAAAAAATGAATATCTCAAAAGACATTGAAAAGTGAAATTTCTGCCTACTTTTTATAGGCAAAAATTTCTATATAAAAATGATGCAATGTTAAGTACATTGCAAAAAAGTACATAAAAAATTGTCAAAAATGGAAAGTGACTCACTGAGTCACCTCCAAAAATAATAAACAAAATAAAAAATATCAAAAATATTTAAAATCTTTTAATCTTCAATTTCGTCATCGACACTCCCCGCACAGAAATCCTCTCATCTCTCCATATTCTCAGTAGTTGCATTGAAGAAGATAGTTGTACATTGATGCGACATATTGGCAAGTTCGTGTGATGATAATTGAAGAGCGCTTGAGTTTGAGAAGATGCTGTTTTTTGCAATGAATTTGAAGAAGAGCTGTTGTCATTGCATGTGACTGGACATTTATTTGCTGTATGTCCGAAGTTGTGATGGGAATAATACTTTTCATTTTTGTGTCGCATTGAAGTTTTATCAATTAATTCTTTTACTTGTTGAATTGAAGATTGTAGAGTCTTTGTTTTTGGAGCAGAAGCAGTAGTTGAAATTAGAGATGAGGGGAAGTCCTGTGAGATAGTCCGAATGACCTGAAATTGCTTGATCTGGTTTCTTTTTCTCTTTTTAACAGGAAATCTTTCCTCCTTTTTATAATTCAGAATTGTCTTTCCTCGAAAACTTGGACAATCTATCTCATGTACTTTATTCTTTTCAGGTATAGCCACACAGGCTTCTATCATTATATTAACATAATTATAGTTAATTAAATTTCTTTTAGTTTCTAATCTTTCTACACATGAAGAATGTGTACCTCCCGCCAACAGTGTAATTATAAGTGCTGACGCGGCGAGTTTGTATCCGCGAAAGAATGGATTATATTTTAAAAATAACTTTAAAGCAATAATTATCAGCACAAATGATAAAATAATCATGAATATCATTTGTATACTTATCAATTCAAAGAGTATATTTTTCCAATCAAGGAACTGCAAACTTGCAAATGGATTAGTCAACCAATTGTTTTCACTATTTTCTATAAATATTTTAGATGATCCTTCCTTTACTATTACTTTTGCCTTCTCTGGCAAAATAAATTCCAATTGTCCTTTTAATGTGAAATTTGTAATTCCTCCCGAACAATATACATTACAAATCTCATTTATCTCTGAACGATCAAACGAAAGTACAATCTTTTGATCAATCCATTTTTCACTACATTTAGCTGTGAATACATTGTCCCCGGGGCACTTTATCTCTGCATAAGCTAATCCATATTCGGTAGTACAATTAAATTTAAATATTGCTCCCATACAGCTGTAACATCCTTTTAAATATTCAGGATTTATTTTGCAACTTGTAATATCGATATTGCTAGAAATCAGCCAATCTTCAAATCTTATCATTAACATGATTGGTAAATAGTTAGATTCACTAATAATCATGTTTTCCTTTCTTCTTAATCTTATACGATTTATTTCCAATGGTAATGATTTGCGCGGATCCTTTATTAATTTTTCAATAATAAAGTCCGAACATGCGCATCGTATTTTCTCAATATCTTGTTCTAACCAGCATTCTTTACATGCATTAATTTCTAATTCACATTTTGAAAAATTTCCAGCATTTTCATAACATTCTAGATAAGAATTACTATTTTCTGAAATTGCAATTCCGCTCTCTCCAATAATAAATTCACTGTTTAAAACAGGTGCCATTGGAGGTGTAACATCTAATAATGTAAATTTTATATCTTTCCATTTAAAAGTCATTCCAGGATTCAGCGTAAATCTCTTTTTTGTCATATTTCCATTCAAAACAAGTCCTATGTCTACTTCAATACTGTAATCCCATGTAGGACAGGATACAAGTTTGAATATCTCATCTGATTTTGGGATGGCATACACTCTATAAAAATAGCAGTCTGCTCCAGGCAGCGAACAGCCATATCCCCAAAGTGATTTCCCTTCAATACAAAATGAATTACCAGGATAATCATTCCATTCTGATAATTCTTCAACATAATCTTTTGTTCGAATATGATTACATCTTCCAGCTTTACATGTTCCCGCAGCTGGGCATCTTTTGATTGACTGAACTTTTACCTCATATGATCTCAAATATCTAAGTATTTTCTGATTGCATTGGATTTGCAATCCATGCATTGACAATTCTAGCTCTCCCATTATTATTCCTTTATTATTCTTTAACGAGAGCGAATTTATTTGCTCATTTGGCAAAAGTATCACTGTATTTACGGCGTTCATTTTGCAAGTAGAAATACCTGCTTTTCTTCGACAATCTTCAGATTTAGCTTGAATAACTACAACTTCAACTTCTCCATTAATTAATTGAATAAAATTTAAATAAATAGCCAATAATGCCATTAAACGTAATTTATTCAATCTTCTGTTTCTCTTTATCTTTATATTATTTTTAGCTTTATTCTTATTACTCAATAATAATTTCTCTGTTATATCCTTTTGTCTATTTTTCTTCTTCGCAAAAAATACTTCCATCGGCATTTTAACAATATTCCAAATTATTCTTAATAATTTTCCGAAAATTAACAAAAGTTTACAGGCAAATAATGCTATAGATAGAATAATTGTCAGAATAAATCCCGCTACAATACCAATCAGTATTAAACTTTCTAATGATTCGCATTGAGGATTAAATATTCTTTCACGTAAGCCTGATATTCTTATACATGGATCAATCGCTGGGCACGAAATCCAGTCTCTGTACATGTATCTTTTGCCCCAATAAGTGGCTCGGCATTTATAATCCAATGCTGTTTTATCTTTTGGAATTTTAAATGCTAATCTTGACAAACCATTTATTTCTAAAAGGCAGCTTCCTGCACAACACAATTCAATTTTATTTATATAGTCAACTGCGTTAGCTTCAACGCCGAAAGTTCTACATTTCATAAAACATCCTTTACAATTTATATATCTTGGTGGTTCAGCAAATGCAATTGCAACCATATATATTAATTGTACAAATTGTAGGCACAAAGCCACTTTTGATCTTGTAACCATCGGATGCGTATTTTTATTTTTAGTCACCAATTTTTCAGTCTCTTTTTTACTCAAATCTACTTCATTTTCTTTTTCATTCTCATTATTTAAATTTTCTTCTACTATATTCTCATCTTCAATCTCCAAAGGAGAGATTTTATTAATCGGGCGTATAAAAGTTTTATCTCCAATTTTTATCTTTGCGCTTCTAGCTGGAGTTCCATCCAACTCCACAATTTTTCCTAAAGGCCAGACATTACGAGGTTGTCCTTCTTGATGGACAATAACAACTTCGCCAATTTTTGGGCTTCTTTTTAAATCATTTCTTTGATTGTGATGAGTCCACTTTGACTTATCTCTTAACATTATGAGATAATCACGTTTCCAGGTATCCCAAAACCTCTGAAGCGTTTTCAAAGTGGCCATCCATCTTTCTTGAACTTGTTCAGCCGTGCTCGTTTTTCCTAGCCGAAAATTATCGTCTTCAATTTCTGGAAATTTTTGAATAATTTCCACACTTGGTATTATAAAATCTATTGGCCTCAAGCATAACGGCCCATCTTTTTCTACCGATATATAAGAAATTGGTCTACAGTTTATAGACATTTCTACTTCCTTTATGAATGTTCTTAATTCTTCTATATTTAATATGCGACTTCCTAAAGATCTCTTAAACGAATCTTTAACTAATTTTACTAATCGCTCATAAACTCCACCCTGCCATGGAGACAGAGCAGGTATGAACTTCCATTCAATCTCTTTTTCTAATAAAAAATTATTAAATAACTTTTCATCATTATTTGCTTTTTCTTTCTTCCATTTCCCTTCAATATTGGCATTTATTACTTTTGCAACCGTTATAAACTGATTGCCATTATCCGATATTATCTTTACTGGTGCGCCTCTTTGCGCTACAAATCTTCTTAAAATATCTAAGAATGAAAGCGCAGATAGATCTGTAATTAAGTCTAAATGGATTCCTCTTGTCGATAAACATGTAAAGAGCGCAATCCAAAATTTGACTTTTCCTCCTTCTATTTTGCACATAGAAGGGCCGAGATAATCCACTCCAACAAATTCAAATGGACGTGATTGTCTTACTCTTTCTCTAGGCAATATAGGCATATCTGGCAGTGCAAACTTAGGAGAACTGATTCTTTGGCACTTTTTGCACTCCTTTATAACAATTTTAGTTATGCGCCTTGCGCATGGCGTCCAAAATTTCATTAAAAAATTTGCAACTGTAGAGTCAACTCCCGAGTGACTCAATTCTTCATGTATTTTTCTCAATAAAAGTTTAACAGCGAAACATCCCTTAGGCAATACGATTGGATGTTTAAAATAATCTTCTGCTTCACAATTACCAATTCTTGTTTTTAATCTTATTAATCCATTCTCATCAATTATTGTCTGTAAATTATCGTTCTTTTCGTTTTTGTAAGAACTTTGTGCAATTTTTAAAACAAAAATTTCAACTTTTTTGAAATTATTTGCCGACATACGATTTTTCAAATTTATTTCACTAAGAAATTTTCCTTTTACAATTTTTCTGCTCTTTTCTATCCAAATCCGAACAGCTATTGTTACAAACATTAAACATTTAATTAATTTATTCCATGAGTTCCAATTATTAAAATTTATTAAATTATCTTCTTCATCTATCTTTTTATTTAAACAACTTAATATTAATTCCTGATTATCTTCTTCGCAAGTATCTTCTTTTTCAATTTCAAAATTCAATTCATTTGGCCAATTATTTTCAGGCCTTTTTAACCAATCAGGACCTTCCCACCAAATATGGCATTTTTCTAATTCAGATGCCATTATACCGCGAGTGGCTATATCTGCTGGATTATCAATCGTATTAACATATCCAAATTTAATTCCATTATTTTTTCTTATTTCATTTATTCTATTTTCTATAAATTTTTCATTTTTACCTCCGGCCTTTATCCAGCTTAATACCGGCTTTGAATCACACCATAAAAATTTATCTTTTATTTCAACTCCGATTTGCTTTTCTACAAATTCTAAAGCTCTCTTTGCAATAACTACACCTAAAAGTTCCATGCGTGGTATTGTCACTTCTGCTTTTCTCGGTTTTAAGCGATTTCGTGCATATAATATTTGTGTATGAATTCTTCCCTCAAATTTTGATTTAATATATATGCAAGCAGCATAAGCACATTTTGATGCATCAGAAAATGCATGTAATTGTTTTTCACCTTTAATATCAGTAACTCTTCTATTAATTTCGATGGGATCTACTATCCATGAATTAGTGATTTCTTTCCACTTACTTGTATTCTCCTCACTAATCTTATCATCCCACTTATTCTCTTTAGTCCACAAAGACTGAAAGAATAGCTTTGCTGATAAAAGACTAGGAGATGCGAGTCCTAAAGGATCAAACATGCTTGCTAATTCACTAAGAACTATTCTTTTAGTTATTTTCTCATTTAATTCCACTTTTGGAAAAACAATATTTATCTTATCAGTAGATATGTCCCATGGTATTCCCAAAATTTTAGGCTTATTCTTTTCCAGCCTATCTTCGAGTGGGAAACTTTCATTAAGCTCCATATTATTACTAATGAATTCTCTCAAATTCATTTGTGCATCTTTAAATATCTCTTTTAATCTTTTATATGCAAGCCAAGCTTCATTGGCTGATTCTATTCCAATAAATATGTTATCCACGTAGGAATTTTCTTTAGCAATTTTTGCAACTGGGTCATCACACTTTTCTAAGTGATGTCTGACAGTCGCTGATAGCAAAAATGGACTAGAAATTACCCCAAAGGGAACTTTTGCAAATCTTAAATATTGAATATTTTGAGTCGATATGGGTTTCTTCGTATCTTTCACCCATATAAACTTAGTCACTTCTTTATCTTCTTCTTCTAATTCTAATGTATGGAATGCTTTTTCAATATCTGCCCACATGGCAATTTTTGGCACTCTAAATCGAATTAATAGGCCCGCTAAATCTGGCATGATTATTGGCCCTCGGTATAAACATTCATTTAAACTTTTTCCTTCTCGCATTTTTGCCGAGGCATCATAAACAATGCGCACCTTTTTTGTATTAATAACCGGGTGGTGAGGCAGAAAGTGTTCTATTTCACTTTTCTTCCTTTCGGCCTTTTCAATCACACCTCTTTTCAAATCATTATTAATTATTTCCTCGTATTTATTTAATAAATCTGGATTTTTCTTTAATTTATCCATGAGATTTAGAAATCTTTTATATGCCAATGAAAAATTAGATGGCAAATTGTCTTTCTCAATTTTCCATGGCCATTTTACTATATAACTTCCATTTTCATTTCTTTTAATCGTACTATTAAATAAATCTAAAGCAACTTTATCATCTTTACACACAGGATCATCTTTGACTCCTATTGTCTCTAATGACCAATAATTGTTAAGTTCCTCATTTTCCAAAGTGTTAGAACTTAATATAGTACACAAATTTTCCTTTTTATTTAATCTTTTAAATTTTTCACCGCTAATTTCGCCACAAATTATTGGCCCTACAGTCGTTTCAACTTTAAATAGATAGTCCGATAATGGTTCTATTCTTTTAAAGAACCTCCAGAAATGCTTCATACCTATAAGCATATCAGGGACTATATTTGCGCAAGCAATCTCATTTGTTCTTAAGTCTGCGCATCTAAATCTTGGCATCAAATTCTTATTAATACTATAAACTATTATTTCTTCAAAATTTCCATTATCAAGAAGAACCTTTAAAGAATAACACGAAGTTTTTAGCTTTATTGGCTCTTTTCTGAAAAATGGGACAACTCCTAATTCTGTTCTTTTTAATTTTTTCAATTTTAATTTTTCAACAAGTTCATTACATAAGAAATTAACTGTTGCTCCTGAATCAAAGAAGCATTTTGCATTTATTTTATTATTTCTCTCTTTTAACATTAAATCTGCTTTCATCAAAACAATATTATCTTCGCCGTTATCATCAATATTAAGCATATTTTCACTTATTTGATTAACGCTTTCATTTTCCTTAATCTGTCCTTTCTTTTCTTTTTCAACTTCTTTAGGACAGATTATTTTATTGTGGTCTCCTTTACATATACCACAACTATATTTCACATTACAATCTATTTTGGCATGGCCTTTCCTTAAACAAATCAAACATCTATTTTGTTCAGACAGAATGCTCATTCTCTGTCCAATAAATCTGACTTGCTTACAATTTCCAGCTAAGTGTGGACCATTGCAAAACAAACATGAAATTTCTCTTTTTTGGTTCTTTGGCGCTGTAAATACACGCGCAGGTTCCGGTTTTCTCTGATTATTTGTGTTTCCATTAAATCTCCTTTGATTAAGATTCGGCACATTTTGCCAACTATTTTTATATGCCAATGACCTCGTGCATCTTTGTGCCTCTTCTCTTAAGGCCACAATTTCTGCAAGTCCTTCTCTTAATCTTCCTACACTCCAATTTACTTTCTCCAATTTTTCCATTTTTAATAATTCTAGAACAATACTTCTTGGCAATTTATTCTTAATTGCCATCATAACTATAGATTCATCTTCTAATTGCCCCATAGCTGTCAATGATCTACAAATTCGTTCAACCTCTTCAAGATATGAACGTAAAGACCATATCGATTCGTTAGCTACTGGCAAGCTGATCAATTCGGCATGCAATGTATCTCTAATTGCCTTTTCATTTCCGAATTGTCTTATAAGAGCATCTTTTAAAGGCACATAATGCTCTGCTATTGGCCTATAGCCCAAAATTGCCCTTCTGGCTTTTCCTCTAAGACATTGAATCAAATAGTGGGCCTTCAGCCCGTTATCAATATTCAAACAATCCACTGTTCGCTCAAAAGCCTGCCAAAACTCAGGCCAACGTAGAGTATCTCCGTAAAATTCTGGCAATCTAGTTCTCGGAAGATGAGGAGGAAGCACCTGCTCACTTCTAACTGGGACTCGTTCTGCATTTATATTTCTGCGGACTTCATTTGTCCGATTTAAGCCAACTCCTATTTCCTCTGAGATCTCTGACTGCGTACTACGAGCATCAGAACCTTCAGCAAGAACAATTTCTATGTCATCGATAGCCTCTCTTCCTGAGTCTATCCATTCTAAAAAATGCCGTTCCTCTATGGCATATCTAGCAAAAACACCTTCTTCGGCAACTCTTTCATTTGCCGGTAAATCTTTAATGTATTTCTCCCATTTCTCAACTTTTTCCTCCACAAAATTAATTGCCCGACGAATTTTAACTGCCATTCTTTGGAGTAACTCAATTCCTTCTTCAGTGCGTTCAGTGGCATCTATAACAGGCCTTACCTCTTCAAGGTATTTTTTCAACCGTACTATGGATGGCGCAATAGTACTTCTAATCGTCCCTGACATTTTTATTTTTTTTTATTTATTTTATTCTAATATTTCCCAATTAATCTCTTTTTTAAATCCTTTTTTTGCCGAGCTTTTCAAATCTTATCTCTTCCAATAAATTTTTTTTTACTGGGCCTTCCTTTTCACGGCTCTTCCAATCAATTTAGCCTATAGCTCTTCAATTTATTCTTCTAACTTTTTTTACTAACCCGCCGTTGGGTCGTGGCACCAAATGTAAAAATACTTTCCCCTTTCTTAGGGAAAACTATTTCACCTTCCTATTCTTTAATAGGGAATTAAAATATCTTAAATTAATTATTCCCTCGGAATAATTAACTAGATAAAACAAATTAAATAAATAAACACAAACACAACTAAAATTCTTTATCTTCAAACAAAATAAATATTCACACAGAATATTAAAAAAAATGAATATCTCAAAAGACATTGAAAAGTGAAATTTCTGCCTACTTTTTATAGGCAAAAATTTCTATATAAAAATGATGCAATGTTAAGTACATTGCAAAAAAGTACATAAAAAATTGTCAAAAATGGAAAGTGACTCACTGAGTCACCTCCAAAAATAATAAACAAAATAAAAAATATCAAAAATATTTAAAATCTTTTAATCTTCAATTTCGTCATCGACAGAATTACAGCAAATTTCAGATTTTAGAATTTATTTTAATCGATGCTTAACTTTACAGATCGGACGGGTCATGACGCTACCTTGTTGCTAATTTAATTCTATTAAAAGCAATAGGATCTCCTATATTTGTTCATACCCATTCTTCTTTTAACTGTCATAATATACATATTAAAATTATTCTAGAATCCTTGAGCTGGTATTTTATGTTTTCATCCTCAATTTAATTTCTTTTAAATATTTTTCTTTTCATTTAAATGGGTTTAGTATTTAATATTACAAGTCACTTATAGTATAATAATTTTCAATTATATGAATTTTTACTTCACGAGATTGTTAAAAGAAATTCCTTTTTGTGAAAAGTTATAATTCCCTTAAGATTTTAATTGATTTCACAGTATGCAATTTTGCAATAATAGGGCTTTATTCTTCTCCAAAATTTCCTTTTAAATCTAAATGTCAGCTCAAAGCAATATTTATTAAAATTGTTTTTAGAATATATTAATTTTTATTAAAAAGTCATAAATGTCAATTTGTTTTAAAATACTTCAAAATCGGTTTTGGAATATTATAATTAATTAAACTTTCATTTAATTACTGGATTGTCTCTTCCCACATTTTGCGAATCTCCTCTCAATTAAGTTAAATTAAATAAAAAAAAATTTATTTTCACAGGCAAAATCTCGTAACATTGATCCTTTTATTTACTGATGTAAAAATAAATTTTTTTTGACGAGAAAACGATAAAAGAAATTACATTTAAAAATCAGTGGAGTAGATGAAATATTTTGCTTAATGTTATCTAACCCCTCTAAAAATTTTAGTTATTGTTTTGGATATTGTCTCTCTTCAAACTTTATGTTTTTAACTAAAAGAAAGAGATTCTTCCATGTGCTTAGGCCATAATATGAGTCAAAAAATGTTTTTAATCGAAAATATAAACTGGAAAATTTTGAGAATCTTATTCTGTTATTAACCATCACTCTAATTTCTTTCAAAAAATTTTTTTTAGTTTTCTTCTTCAGAGACCTATAACCAGTGTTACCTTTTTCTAATCTTTATACATTTTATCACAAATACAATAATACAAACAGTATATGGACAGAACAGCTTATTGTGTATATTTGTGTATTCCTTTTTTACTTTAATACATCGAAATACATATATGTATTAGAGGAATTAGTAGGTACAAAGATTTATGGGCACAGTCGATAAATACACACATTAAGTCAATACAGTGTTTTTCTCTCTCAAAAGTGCTAAGTGATTCTAATTTTTCTCTCTCAAAAATGAGAACTAATACAGTGTCAATGATTTTAATTCTCTCAATACAGTGAATATAATTCTTCCAAAAATAAATTCTGGTCTTTTATTATTTATAAGGGCAATTTTCTTTTGTTTTTGCTTTTAATAAAAAAAACCATCAAGTTTTTGGTATTATGAAGTTTTGAGCTTGATGTGTTTGGGGATTTAGTGGCATTTTGTCCTAATTTTAATGTTGCTAATTAAATTTATTTTTCCTTCTTGAGTTTTGGTGCTTTTTGCAGTGTAATCTATCTGGTCTATATTAATTTCTCTCTTGAGTACTCAGTTCATTTGTTAAAAAACTTTTGAGCATTATTCGTATGGAATGGATCTTTTTCTTTGATTTATGTAATATTCTCCTTTCCTTATAATTAACAGAAAGAGAACATATATAAATTCTGTTAAAATTAAGTGGAGATAGAAAAGGAGTAATAATACATTCCTTTGAGTATAATAACCTCTGAATAAATATAGTTTTGTTTAAAAGTAAATTTTAAGACTTAAAAGGGATACAGAAAAGCATTTATTTATGTTTTTAACAAAGATATTAAGAAAGCTCACTTTAATAATATTAAAGATTTTTATTTGTTTGAATGAAAGAAAACAGAAAAAATTTTAAATTAAATTTTTAGAAATTAAATTCTGTTAAGAGCTTAGGCCATATTATGAGTTAAAATTTTTTTGGAATAACTTCACTTTAGGGTTTACCGAGACAAAAAAAAAAGAAATAAAATATTTTTTAATTTTTCTTCTTTTTCCTTTTTGGCACCAATTTTCATTCAAATAATAAAAGTTTAATTATTGTGTTTTTTATTTTTTTGGCGTGTTTGTTTACTGATTTTGTTTAACCTGTTTTTTTTACTCTAGGTCTAGTTTTTTTTAAGCTTTTCTGGATAGAACCATTTCTACTAGAGGGCACAGGGCAGGATCCAGCACAGGATTTTTTTCAGGATCCTGTCCGAAATCCTTTTTTCAGTTTTCAGGATTGGCCGGATTTCAAGATTTTCAGGATTAATTCTGCAGGGTCCTTTCCTACTCGAAACTTTAAAACCCAATCCTGATACAGGATCCTGCAAATGTTATTTCACCGATCTCTAATTTCTACCTCGCTTTAAAAAAAAAATTCTTTTCTCTTTCTTTGATTTTTTTATATGAAGTTTTTTTTCCCCTCTTCTTTCAATATTAGTATTTAATTTTATTAATTAAGATTCAATTTAAAACTAATTAAAAATAAATACAGTAATTGCTGAAATAATGTCCCTCTCATATAATTACCCCGCCCTATTAATTACCCCATGCAGCCAGGGATCGAAAAATAATTACACTTTCCCTTTTAATTACCACCTCCGGCGAGAGGTCGAAACAATAATTACCCTGGGTAATTATTTTAGCAAATACGGTATTAAAAAAAATAATAAAAATAATTTTTTTCTCTCCAAGTTTAGCTCTTCTTCTGACTTGTGGATTTTAATTTATTTGGCTTCGGCTATTTTTCTGGATATTTTTTTTGAACGTTGTTTGCTATAGAAAGTAAGTTTATATTTAAAAAGTCAAAAATATATATATATAAAAAAAAATTTTTTTTTAATAAAGTAGTAAAACAAAATATATAATAAATTAACTAAATATAATTTAAAAAATATATATACCTATATATAATTTGAGAATTAGTGTAATCTAAAATATATACATATAAATAAATTTAAAAAAATATATAAATAAAATATATAATTTTATTTTAATAAAATATTTTAAAACACATATATAAAAATATTAATTAAATAATTCTAAATGGCTAATTATTCGGATCTAAGTGTTGTGGATAAGAAGCTATTTGAGGGTAAAGTGCTGAGTGGAGCTGCGAAGCTATCAGATTTAGATAAGATGCAACAAGACATAATTATGTTAGAGGAGGGGTTAAATAGGAATCTCAGAATTCTCAACAGAGATTTAAATAAAATGAATGAAGGTTTGGATGAAATAGAAAAAGGTACTAATGAGGGCTTTAAGGCCGTAGCGGAAAGAGTTGATGTCCTCGGACAAGAAATGGTTAAAATTAAGGAAAGTGTTGAAAGTCTTAAAAGTGAATTAGAAGCTAGGGATAATCTTGAATATGATGAGTTAAGGAATAGTGATGCAAATAGGATTGTAAATAACAGCAAACGTCCAGAGCAAATACCACCGCTGCCGCCAAAACACAATCAAGTATCTGGTTCTCTGAACCGAATAGACTTAGCAACAAACTCCTTCGGGAATAAAAAGGATCAAACAAAGAACACTAGTAACAATGGGATAGGAACACAACGCACAAGCTCTAATTCTGAATTAAATGTATTAGGTGAAGGTACTTCCTCGGGATCCCATTTAGAAATATTTAGTGGAGAAACTGCATCCTCCTTTGATAATTGGACTATTCGGTTCTTAGATTATCTTGATGTATATGGAGCAAACTGGACAGAATCTGATAGAATAAATAGACTTAAATTAAACTTAGGTACGCAAGCCCGCCACATTTTTGAAAGTTTATTGCCAAGTGAACGAAGTACCATAGAGAATGCAATTAAAAATATTAGAGCAAAATTAGACAGTCCACATTTTAGAGAGCTCGCTCATAAAAGGTTAGCAGCTTGTTTCCAAAGGGAAGGTGAACTGGTTAGTGACTTTATTAAGCGATTAGTACCTTTAGTAAACGCAACCACGCCTCATATACCAGTAGAAGTAAGGGAAGAAATATTGTGTAGATGCTTTACAGAAAAAGTTAGGCCTGAGTTTCAAAGAACCCTTCAGATGGTAGGACCACTTATTGGTCGTAAAGACTTTGATAAGCTAACTGCCTATGTACAGGAACTTGAAGTTGCTTCTGAAAGGGAAGGAAGAGCTAGTAATGACGGGATCCATGCTATCGCAGACATGTCTAGTCAGCAGTTGCCTAAAGGGAGATTCACAACTTGGAGACCAATAAGTACAAATAATAGTCCGCAAACCTCTAGGGGTTATAATAGGAACGCTCAAAGCAGATACGCAACATCTAGCAACGCGCAAAGATTAGGTTTTGGAAGCTATCAGGCAAGAAATCAATGGAGTCCACAAAATGATAGAAGGTGGAATAGCCGACCTTTCTGTCACTTTTGTCGCAGAACAGGACATGATCAATACAATTGCAGAGAACGCAGGCAAAATAATTCTTTCAATAATAGAAATAACTATCAGCGAGATAACAGAGATAGAGAAAATAAAGAAATTAGAGAAGTACTAAATAATTTAGTAATTCAAATGCATGAAATGAAAATGAATGCAAACCATGCTTCGGCTAATCATCAAGGGAATATAAGGTCATTGCAACCAGTACAGTCTAGTAGCACACCTGAAAAAGCTAAAAGTACTAATGAAAAGGGTGAACCAAATAAAATTACTAGTTGGGAAAATAAAGGTCGTAGAGTAAGAATACCTTCGCTTATGGGAACCACTCTTTTATTAATTGCGATGTTTTGCAGTACATTTGCGATTAATCCTGTATTAATTCCCAAGGGGCCAATGATATGTCAGACACATAAACAGGCAATAATTTGGGAAATGCCTGAAATTCCAAGTTGTCCAATGACTAATTTAACAGCTAAGCATACCCCTGTAGTAGAGAGAAGGAGAATTTATGTCCCAAACAGCATTGAATTTTCAACTAAAGCGTGGGCCTGTAGAAAGATAAAGAAAAATGCGAGAAAATACACAACAATAACAGGAATCTCAGTTGAAGAAAAATTAATTCATGAAGAGTTAGATTTGTCTGTAGAAGAGTGTAATCAGATGATAAAGCATCATAGTTGTAGCTTCGGCATTCTTAAGGATAATAATAAGCTTTGGCAAACTGAAAATAAAATTGATTTAACTCCTAGGATGTGGTTAATGGTATCATTCTCCTGGAAAAATATTTCGAGTGAAAACTGTTTCCTATTTGAGAGCAGAATTGATTCACATTTCGGTGCACAAGAGGTCGCAACGCCGCTAGGATTAACTAGGGACTGTCCTTATACTAAGGGTAATTGTATATTGGAAGATAAAACTGTTTTAATTTGGGAAGTGGACAATCAAAGGAAATGCAATTTTATTCCCATTGGTGAAAAAGAAGGTAGATGCATGGGTCCGATTTGGCTATCTGACGATGGTCGGCTTGGATTAACGTTTGAAAATGAAACATTCATTCATGACTGTGGAAAGAACATTTCAGTCTCTGATCAAGGTTTAGGATCGATAGTAATCTCAACCTCGGAACTTACTAGAAAAAAGCGAAATACAGAAAGGGTGTATAAACGACAATTTTCTGATGGACTTGTAACTTCTTCGCAACTAGCGTCTCAGCTCACATATTTAGATGCCGCTCTCACTAAAGCAGTCAATTTTGCGTTCGCGCAATCAATTAGGTCATTTTGTGAATTTACTGAAATGGTAAAGCATTGGGTAGAATCGACTTATATGTCTGATCCAACTGACCTGGCTCGCTCGCTCTTTTCCAATTCCTATTTGGTTGCAAAGAAGTCCGCTAGATCTTTAATGAAAGTTTGGCCATGTGTACCTCTAGAAAAAGAAGATTATGAATTTTCTCCCACTAAATTAGACCAATGTTTTGAATTTTTGCCAATTATTTTGAAAACTGAGAGCAAAGAGCATCTGGCTTTTGTTGATCCAGTAACAATGATCGTTTCACCAACATCTAAAAAGGGTCCTTGTGAAGAATTTAGGAAGATAATTATACAGGTTGATGATCAAGTCTTAGAAGTTGATCAAATTGAAGGGAAAATCACTTCGGTGAAACCAAGGATATTTTTATGGCCTGAAGCCAAATTTAATTTTACTAATATGATTCCAAAGATTGAATCACATGCGTTTCATCAACTAGTTTTATTGAACATGACAGACATTAAAAATCATGCATTTGTAAGTAATTTAGTTAAAGTGAGTCAAATGACTTATCAAATCAACGAAAAAGATTCTATTGTATCCATGTCTATGTCCAATGAGTGGCAGGAAGTTGAAAATCAAATTGAAAAGGGTATAATAGGGGACTATAAAAGCATTTGGGAAACCATTATCTCAATTTTAGTAGTAATTTTGGCATTAGACTTTGGAATAAGGTTCGCGATGATCGTTGCTGAGATGTATGCTGGAAATGGGCGCCTAGGTAGACTTCTATTTGGCCCTGAAATACCAAAAGCTCCGATTCCACAGAGAAGGTTGGAGATTCAACGTGTACCAGAACCTATTGTAGAGCTAGATAATATTTATGAAGAACCGGTAAATAGGCCACTGTCAATCTCTTGGCCCCCATCAATAAGGAATACAGTAAATGCTAACACTTTACCAAGAAGCACCATAAGCACAAGACCCAGGTCAACTTTAGGAATTAATAGAACTAGTGGATTTATAGGAACGCTGGGAGCGAGTGCTAACACAGTAATAGTTGATGTCTCCTTAAATACTGTACCTGTAAAATGTTTAATCGACACTGGAGCAATTACCTCGGTAGCCAACATTGCTTTAGCAGAGTGGTTGGGCACAAAAATTTTTCGAACTGAAACGTACCTCCAAAGTGCCTCCGAACATTCTATGTGTGCAAAGCAAGCTACTAGGGTCCAATTAAAAATCGCTGGAGTAGTAGTTGAAATTATAATTCATCTTTTCAATGATAAGTTTCACTGGGATAACCACGATTATCATTTTATTATGGGGTGTGATGCATTAGCGCAGTTGCCTCTTTTTATTGTGGATTTGAAAAATAAAATGTTCTGTATAGAAGGAAATCAAATATGTATTGAAAATAGAATTAATAGGCCTCTAAGGAATCTGAAAATACACGCATTAGAGACTTGTGAAATAAGACCCAATGAGCAAAGTGTGATAAAAGCCAAAATAAATTTCCCTGAATTGCTTAGGCATAATATCTGGATTCACTCAATGGATGATAGACTTGAAGAAGAGGGTTTAAGTTTTGTTCCAGTAGTAACCAATCCAAAGGATGGTGTAGTGCAAATTATTTTAGCCAATCCAACGGGCACAACTAAAAGATTATTTAAAGGAAGGACCTTAGGATTAGCAAGTGAAGTATTAAAAACAGAATCTGAAAATATTTTTGCAGAAAATAACTTTAGTAAAGAGTCGCAGGAAATCTTTTCTCTAGGGAAATCAGGAGTAACTATTGATCCAACTTACAAAATTGATTTTGAGAAAGCCACTGTAAAGGGTGAAGACCTAAATAAATTAAAAGAACTTTGTAAAGAGTTTGAAGATATATTTAGTAAAAGCCAGTACGACATAGGGAGTTGTACAGCAGGCGAGCATGACATAATCACAACATCTGAGGAACCAGTTGCCTCTAGGCCTCATAGAGTACCGTTTAAATATCGAGATGAATTGCAAAAGCATATCGACCAGCTATTAGCCTCAGGGGTGATGGTTGAGTCTGATACCCCTTGGGTATCGAACATAGTATTAGTTCAGAAAAAGGATGGTGGGCTTAGGCCATGTATTGATTTTAGAAAATTAAATGAAGTGACAGTACCTGATCACTTTCCTTTGCCGAGACTTGAAACAATTTTAGAAAAAGTTGGTAATTGTAGATATTACTCATCACTTGACCTTGCTAGCGGGTATTTGCAAATAAAGCTTAGTGAAAGGGCCTCAAGAAAATGTGGTGTAATTACCGAGGATAAAATCTATCAAATGATAAATTTACCATTTGGACTTAAAAATGCTACTAGTGCGTTCGCGCGAATAATGGCTCATGTACTTACAGGAATTGAAAATGTTATAGCTTATGTGGATGATATATTAATTTTTACCAAGTCTGGAAATTTTGAAGAACATATCAATGCCCTCAGGAGCGTTTTTGAAAGATTCAGGCGTTTCAATTTAAAATTAAGTCCCAAAAAATGTACTTTTGCTTCTTCAAGCATGGAGTTTCTCGGTTTTATTGTAAATGAAGCTGGATATACACCTAGCTTAAGAAAGACTGAGACAATTTTAAATTTAAAGGAACCAACCTCGGTGAAGGAGGTTAGACACATAGTAGGCATGGCGAATTTCTTTAGGAAGCATGTGCAGAACTTTTCTATGATTGTTGAGCCATTAACCAGGTTAACAAGAAAAGAAAAGCCATTTATTTGGGGCGAAGAGCAGCAGGAAGCTTTTAATAAAGTAAAGAAAATTTTGTCGGAGAAACCTGTTTTAATTTTTCCGGATTATTCTAAGCCATTCCATATATTTTGCGATGCCTCACAAGTAGGACAAGGTGGTGCTCTGATGCAATGGGATGAAGAAAAGAAGGCCTATGGAGTAATTTGTTATTGTAGTCGCACTTTATCACACGCTGAAAGAAACTGGCCTCCAGTTCAAATTGAACTTGGAGCTATAATTTTTGCGCTTCGGCAGTTTAAACCGTTTATTTTCATGTCTAGTATTGAGCTTCACACTGACCATAAGCCTTTAGCATTTCTTTTAAAGAAAGCTGAGACGCACCAACATTTAGCTAGGTGGCTTGTTGAGCTGCAAAATTATAACATTAATATTGTGCATATAGCGGGCAAGCAAAATACCTTAGCAGATGATTTATGTTTAGAAAATGATATTTTATACCATCATTATAAAGATGCAAAGCCGCGAATTTACATACCCATATCTTTAAGAGCCATGATTTTTGACTCATTTCACACAACCAAGTTAGGTGGAGGTCATATGGATTTTAGTAAGACCTTGAAAAAATGTAAAAAATATTTTTGGCCAAGAATGCATTCAGACATTATGACTTGGCATAAACAGTGTATCACATGTCAGCTTAGGCATTCTCCAAATCCACCTTATAGAGCAGAGATGTGCACACCACCTGTAAACACACTTTTCGCCAAAGTTGGTCTAGACTTAGCGGGTCCCTTTCCAAAAACCCAAACTGGTAACAAACATATTTTGAACATTGTCTGTTGGTTCACGAAATTTGTTATATCAGTTCCAATCCCAGACGCTAAGGCTTCAACCATTGCTTCGGCATTTTTAAGGAATTGTTATTTACGCTTCGGCGGCTGCACGGAATTAATTACTGACAATGCTTCGGCATTTACTTCAGAGTTTTTCAAAAGTCTTTGTGCTATGTTGTATATCAATAAAACTTATGCCATACCTCACTGGAGCCAAGGCAATGCAGTGACTGAGAGGTCATTCAGAACCTTCCACAATATTCTTGCGAAGTATATAACCAAAGACCAGCCAGATTTCGATGAACATCTGGAATTCGCCAACTTTTGTTATAACACTTCGGTCCACCAGTCAACAAATGAAACGCCATTCTTTTTAATGTACGGCAGAGATCCCATCTTTTGCGTTGATTTAATTCTCGATCCTAAAGTTAGAGATCCTATAGCATTAAATGACGAACAAGAAATTAAACAGAAATTAATAGTTTCACTGCGAAGTGCTTGGAAATATGCAGCAGAAGCCAATTTTGAAGCTCAGCAAAGGTCTAAAACATATTATGATAGACTTATTAGGAATCCCACTGTAACAATTGGAGATAGAGTTCTTCTTCGGAATTATGCTGGTAAAATAGGCTCATCCAAAAAGTTTCATCTCCCTTGGAAAGGCGTCTTTCGAGTGATTGAAATTAATGGGGTTCATGTAACCATATCCAGTTGTAATTCACCCCAATCTAACCCAAGAATCGTTCACATTAATCAATTAAAGAAATGTATAGAGCCACTCCCGACTGAACCAGTTTGCACAACTCCTAGGTTAGAGGCAGAAGAGTTGGAAGCGTTAGAAGAATCTGGTGCAGAGGAAATAGTTAACATGCCTGGATTCTCGCACAGTAAAGTAGTTGAACCAAATTTAGAGGTAGCAGAAGGTAGTCAGGTTGAAGTAGTAGGTCGCCAGGGACTAAGTAGATATAATTTAAGAAAAAGTCCAAAACAGAAAATACTTAAAATTGCTTCGGCTATCAAAAGGATTTAAAATTTAAATTTAATTAAAAAATATATAAACAAAATAAAAATATAATTTAAGTAATTATTTAACATTAATCAAATAAATCATTGGTTAGTTATTTTTGAAATTAATCATAAAGATGTGTCCGCGTATCCAATTCTTCGAAATGAATGAAGTAATTGAAGAGCTGAACTTAATTGAAGAGGATGATGGTCCAGAAGAAGTGGAGTTTATTCCGTACCAACATCGTATCCCAGAAGGATGGGAGGCAGCATTAGAGGAAGAGTTGAGAAGAGAAGGGATTTTATTTGAAGAAGAAGAAGAAGAAGAAAATGAATTTGAAAGTGAAGGTGAAGAGGAGGAAGGAAGAGGGAAAGATGAAGAAGAAGATGATGAAATTAAAGAAGAAAAAGAAGAAAAGGAAGAAGAGGAAAAAGAAGATGATGATGATCAAGAGATTGAACTGGGAATTGAAGTGACAGAAGCTCTTTGGAATTGAGGTGACAAAAGCCCATTTTGCAGTGGGTGATGTTAAAAAGATAAATTTTCACAAGTTCAGTCCTTAGGGAATAAAAAGTTTGATTTTTGGAAAAGTGTTAAGGTTATTAATGTTCAAAAGCGGAAGAACAGGGATGTTAAGCAGGAACTCGTAGAAGCGAAAGATAGCGGTTTTATTGTTTGTCATCCACTAATATTCAAAGGTCTTGAGAGTCGACGTGATTGTTTTGAACAGCACTTACCGTCGATGTTGTCAGCCCAGAGTACGAATCAGGTAAACTCCTCCTCGCCTTAATAGCTCGTGAATTTGAAACAGATTTTGATGATGAAGAACCAAATGCCTCGGCAGTCCTCATTGTTCACCCACAATGAATATGTTAAACGGAAAATCGCAGAAGACCGCTAAAATTCTCTTGGAAGATGATTGCAAGTTTGTTTTCCAATAGGCGCCACCAGACGTTTGAAAGACTCATTTGGCTTCAGTTATTAATATACTAATGCTTTCCACCTTGAGAATGTGAAGGTAGCAGTTGTAACAGCAGCTAATTTGCCTTTGGCAAAGCTAGCCAAGGAGTTGGAGGAGGTCCTCTGATGTCCTGCGATGGAGGATTCCAACGCAATAGCATTTTTCTCTGGCTATTTGATATTCTTGGAACTTGTAGACAGGACAACACTTCTCACTCTTTGTGCAATGATGAACATTCGGCTTCTGCAGTTAAATTGATTTCTGCGTTGTACGACAAAATTTCCACCGATATTTCTCTGGCTGTTATTTGTTTATGTACATTTCAGAAAGTCTCTCCAGAAAGAGTTTGAGAATTTGGGTTGGAATGTGTTGGTTGTCACAGTTGATGAGTATCAGACCACTGTGGCGTTGAGTCGTGCTAAGCACGGTCTCTTCGTTATAGCTGACTTTGAAACACTTCGATGTGGAATATTCTGGAATCGGTTCATCTGTCGTGCAACTGAGTTCACCCAAATTGTCGGTCCGGAATATCTGCAAGTCCTCCAGTCGGGTAGTTGTATGAGAGATAGATTCGGTCAACTTTTTGTCTTCGACGGGTCGAATGGTCGCTGACTTTGTGGACGAGCAGTATCCCCAACAGTAACAACAACAGCCTTCAACATCTTCATATGGTTTCGGCCGCAATCATGGATCAACTAATGTTTGGAGCAGAAATGATAGGAATTCTAGAGATTATGAGTGGTTTGAAAAAGACTTAAATTTTAATAAAAATAATATAAATACTAATTTATCAAATTACAGGAAAAGACCAGCTGAACAAACCTGGAAAGAATATGCTAATACAACATTTGAGAGGAGCAGGACCATCACATGTTTCAATTGTGGACGGAATGGGCACATGGCGCGACAGTGTAATTGGAATACTTGGAGGAAAAATGAGAGTTGGAGAGGCAGAGGATGAAAATATTAAATTTGTGTTTTTAATCAATTAATTTTTTTTTTGTACTTTAAATACGCATTCTCACTTCCTTTTAATTATTTTAAACTGAATCTTATTCATTAATATAATGTCATTTCCAAACCTTTCCCAATTTTTGTTTTGGTTTTATTAATCTTAAATGTTTTTTATAACATGCCTTACCTGTAATTTCAATTCCTTCACTTAATCAAAATTATTTAAATCTATTAATTCAATTTTAATCATAGTTCATTTATTTATACATTTTAAATGTCAATCAAAATGTTTTCCCAATATTTCTCACCTATTGCTAATATATACTTAAATCTTTTTTTTAACTTATGCCAATTTGTATTAATCCACTTATAATTATTTTTTACAAAATTTTTACCCTCACTTAAATACATTTTATAATTATACTTTTAAGCTTAAACTCACTAATCCCATTAAATCTATTACATTTATTAGTTTCAAATTTTAAATGTTTAAATTGTCAAATATCACTTAATTTGTTACATATTTATGCAATCACATTTTTAAGACTCACAATTAATTTACTCCCATACGAATTATTTACATTTACCCTATTAATTTTTAAAGAGTCTTTCACAAATACATTCAAAAATATCCCAAATTCTTTTCTGTAAAATTATTTTATTTTACTATTATATAATTCTCAATTTCAAATTGTTATTTTTACAAAACTTTTTCAATACACTTTTAAAATATACCCAATTTTACCCACAAATCAAATGTTTTTATGTCAAAACTTTTACATACATTAATTTTAAATATTAATTCAAAAGCTTTAAAACTGTTTCTATTAACCTTTCAACCAATCCATTTATACCCAAATTGATTTTTTACATTATTTTTAGAATATTCCTTTTCCAATTTTCTAAAAAAAAAATTTTTATTGCAAGTCTTACTCCACTCATTTATACTCCAATGTTGTATTTTCAAACACTTCGGTAGTTTTCTGGATTTTTTTTCACTCTAAATTTTAGTTCAATCTATTGATTTATGAATTTATACTTTTATTCAGCGCGTTACCCGTTTATTTTATTTTATAATTTCAAACATTTCAATGTCACAATTTATCCTTATTTTTAATTTTTGAAATTTATATGCAATTTACTCGTACCCATATTTTAATACAAAAGGAAACATACTCGTCCGAAACCGATCTAAAGAAATTTTTAAACACAACCCCAACTAGACTAAACAGACTCGAAAACATACAATTACAATTATATCAAACCCCACTACTTAATGATGACAAAGAGAAATTTTTCATGAAACAATTGATAAGCACTAATAATGGACCAGGGTCGGTCCAAAAAAGGAAAAAGGAGAGATATGCTCGAAGAGCACACAAAGAAATTAGATAAATAAAGAAGAAAATTAAATTAGGTTCGCCTACTCACCAGAGTGCTTATCGATTGAGAAATAAAAGTGAATGGTCATTATTTAAGTAGTTTGGGAAATGATAAATTATAAAATTTTTGAAAAATTCAAATAGAGTCTGTTAAGTCTAGATTAAGACCAGGGACGGTCTTGATGGGGAAGGGACGTGTAAGGGTCAAAGGTATTCTCGGAGTTTGTTTCCTATAGTTTATAGTCATTTTATTATTATTCATTTCCCTCCCACTTTTCTCACACATTTATAAGGATTTGTAATCACCTTACAAGGGTCTTATTGTTCTTTCACTTTAATAAAAGAATTAAATAAATGTTTTAATATTTGGATTTAATAAATATATAAATTGTGTTCAATTGTGTATGCCTGGTGCAGGAGATCAACTGAGGGCCTGATCAACCCTAAGTTTATCCTAGGAAGTCCCGGGCATATTCCCTCCCGTATTCCATAATTCTGGGGTTTGGGCCCACCACATTGGTAATATCGTACTTTGGGGGTCCCACCTCTACTTTTTTTAAATCCTAAACCTTCTCTTCTTTGGTTTCCCAGCGACTATAAAATATTGAGGGGATATTTAGGCGCAGACTTAAAAAGGGTAAAAGACTTGTAAAATTGTAAAATAGAATTTAAGATTAATGAAATTTAAAAAATGTTCTAAAAAGAGTTATTTAAATTCCATATAAATTTCAAAAATCTTACTTAGTTAGTTTAAGAGTTATGACTGAAAAGCTCAACAAAACTCAAAAATTTTCAAAAATTCAAATTCCTCTCTTTTTAAAAATTCACTATTTTTAAATATAATTCCGCAAATAATTAACAAAAAAATTTTTTTTATTTAAATACAGTTATCTGAGAAAATTATTATAAAATTTTAAAACTTTTGGGGGTGCTTTAACTAATTTATGAAGGATGTAATCCACCCGATCCGCGCCTAAACGCCCCCTCAAATTCCTCTCTTTTTATAAAAATTCTTCTCATTTTTCTTACTTTTCTTCTCATGATATATAATTCCCTCATGAATAATACTTTGAGGGATTTAAACGAGACTAGAAAGATCTTAAAAAATAAAAGGATATGAAAATAAATACTTTAAGTGATCAAAAAATAAATTTTTGTTGATCTGATTTTTATGCGTAGGATTGATTGGAATTAAAATTATGAAAAAATATTTGTAATTCCTTTAGATTAATTTAACGAAATACAGTTTTGGCTATGAACTCAAAGATTGTAAAGGCTTGTCTTTCTAACATTGGAATTAATTTAATAATTTTATTTTTTATTTTTAAAATAATTTTATTAACAAAACTTTTTTTAATTTTCAGAAAAATTAATTTATTAAAAATTTTTTAAATATAAAATATTAATTCTGTAATAAATTTTTTATTTTCCGGTGCATTTTGAAATAAAAATATTTAACACAAAATAATTTTTATATTAAATAAATAATTGATAAGTAAATAACTGATAAAACAAAATTTATTTTGCATTTGTAGAATAAAATAAAGAATGAGTAATTAATTAATTTTTAAGTACTTTGATTTTTATTTTTTTAATGTAATTAAATTATAATAATTAGAAATATTTAATAAACCTCATTATAAGTTACATCCTTAGAAGATCTAAAATTTGTATCTTATAATGGAATGCTAAGATTAGAAACTGAAAATTGATCTACAAAATATTGTTCGAATGAAGAGTCTACATATTTAGTCTAGAATGAAAAGGATTTGTGTCGTCATAAAAAAAAGGATGCTCTTTTCAATAAAATAGTAAAAAGTAGTACAAATAAAATATTGAAATCGGGATATAGCCAATAAAATATATAAATGTGATTATGTGAATGAGAAAAGTATTTAGTTTCTCTTTCTTTTTTCAAGGATCATTTGATCATAAAATGAGAAAGTAAGTTCTTTTTTAAAAGAGTTATAAAGTCATAAAGTAATATTAAATAAGTAAAGCACACAAAAAACAAAATTATTTATGTAATCCTCTTTTTTGTCACGTTGCTTTTTAAATCTTCGTCATCCTCCTCTTTTTTTGTCAATCAATCAAAAATGCTTTACAATTTTATTTTAATTTCAATTAAAAATTTAAAAATAATAAAATAAAATTAATTTTTTAATAAAAAAACTTCAAAAATTAATATATCCAATTAGAAAGAGAATATTTTTTGTCTGTAAGGGGTTTTTGATTTTAGTTCCTAAAATTTTGAAGAATAAAAATACTCCAAACTTTTGATGTTAATCTCGCAAACAATAAAAGAGTATGGTGAACATAAAGTGATATACCGATTTCCTCTATTAGGATGGCCCCCTCTAATAGAGTGGCCCTCTGGAGGACGATTGAAAAATAGAATGGTCGGCCATACTATTAGAGGAAATATATAGCGGCATGAAGAGGGAGATAAAGAGGGACATTTATGGGAACCAAAAATTATAAAACATAAGATTGAAAGGAGAAAAAAATAAATTTGTTAATTTATTTTTAATAAAAATAAATTTAAAAATGATTAAATAATCTTTGAAATATTAAAATTAATTATTTATTTTTTTTCTAAAAATATTCTTTCAATTAGCTTCATTTTTATTCATTCCGAATTGTTTTCTGTCAGAGAATATTCAATTGATGGATTATTATTTAATTTAGCATTGCCTGTTTCATCAATTATTATCTAAATAATTTATTTAATTTAAAAATGTTTTTTGATAAATTTTTGAATGGAAAACAAACAAAAAAAGAAAATTCTCAAAAAAATCCCCCAAAATATAGAAAACACAAAACTCAAAAATTCTGATTATCTTTCTTTCCCGTATACTTTTTGGGGTTATTACCAAAAAGAGATCCTTTATAGATTCTAACGTTTTGGAGAAAAACCAAATTTAATTTGGCTGCTCTATTGAAATAATTTTTGTGGACAAGAGTGAATATTCTTTCCTTTTCAACCCATTAAAAATTAACAAAATTCCCTAAAATATATTTTAAAATTAAAAATTAATTTTACATTATATTTTGTAATTTTCTGTTCATTTTCATTTCCAATTCCTTCCTCTTCTTCTTCTGATTTTTTCGCTTCTTTTATTTTTTTATTTTTTCTTCTTTCCGAACTAGAATCTTGCCAAACCCCAGTTATTGTTATTATACAAATACAGGAAAATAATAAAGAAATACTTGAACCACTTAAAGTTATTAATTTTTGTTTTTCATTTAATAAATTGTAGTCTGCACTCTAAAAAGGGAGGAAAAAGTTTAAAGTTTAAAGATAAAAGTTTAAAAAATATTTAATGAATAAAAACTAAAAATCCCTTGAAATGTTCTTGAAAATATATAGTTCTCTCTTTCATACTCCCAAAGGGATCAAAGAGAGATACTCCCAATACTCCCAAATTCATGTTTAATTCTCAAAGCAATCGGGCCTTATTAGCATAAGATACCTATTTCATTTAATTTGGTCGATCACTAGATTGGGAAGCTCCCTAAGCGATACCTCCTATTTACGATTAGTGTTCGCCAAATGGGTTTTTTCCTTATTAGGTACGTATACCGAGAAAATTCAACCCAAAGGGTTAAGCGTGTTTCCTTGCTGTACAAAATTTTATATTTTAAAAATTCATCCGGCTATTTTACAGCAATCGCCTAATAATAATTTAAAAATTTTTCTCCCTGCCTGTATTGTTAAAGAAGAAAGTACTGCAGCATATAAAGAACGCCAGAAACTTTCAGGGATTGCAAACCAATAAAGGATTAAAGCAAATATAATTAACCAAGAACAGTAAATAATACAAACAAAAAATAATAATAATGTTCGGTGATCAAAAGTCGATGACGAGAAATGTTTCTAAAAAATTAAAAAAAAAGAGTTTTATTCCAAATAATGTCTTTGGATACGAGAAATGAGTATAAAGCTAAGAAAAGTCAAACACCCAATACAAGATCAATTCAAGATTTTTAAAGTATATTGGCTATGGGTTAGACAGAGCTGCCTAATTGATACTCTTATTTTAAATACCCCCATTATAAGATATTAGTGTCTGCCCCAAGGTTCGATTTTATAAAGCCTATCGGCTCTAGCTCCCTATCACACTCATAAGAGGTACATTTTTTTATTTTAAATTAAAATAAAAATTACATTTTTTGTTACAAGTTGAGATAGAACACGGCAAAGGTTTAGTAAACGATATGAGATAACAATTAAAGTAAATACAAAAAATGGAACACCCAAAACACAATAAAGCAATGCAAAAACCTTTAAAAATAAATTATTCTCTCCCTCTCTTTCTAAATATTTTTACCTGTCCACCCCCAGTTTTAGGCGAACGATGTCCATGCCCTATTGTTGTAATTAATCCCCAACAATAAGTTAAAGAATTTTCTAAAGTCCATTCATTTAAATCAGGCATTTTAAGTTCTAATTGTTGCTCGTATAGAGATAATAAATTAACTATTTCTCTCTTTAAAAATAAAAAATAATTTTCTCATTGTATTTTAAAAATAATCAATTTACTTGAATTCTTTCAGAACTATCATAATCTACAATAATCAACATATTTCTAGTACCATTAAATATAGCTGAAGATATTTGTCTCGAAAATTTATTTCTTCAAAAAAATTTATCTTTGTATTTTTATATACAGTCTAACCTCTCTGTAAGATACACCCAATATTAGATAAGGTACGGTTTTTAAAATTTGGCTGGTTATTAGATCAAGAGAAATGCCTAAGAGGTACTAATAGGTTTTTCGTTGTTGAGATTATTAAATCCTAAATATAGTTCGTTTCAGCTTGTCAAAGTACATCTAACCATACCCGGGCGCCCCGGATTCAATAACTAGTTCGGCGGTACTTTGGGCTGCCTAAGCGATATCCCCAACATATTTAAAATATCCCTCATTAAAAGGTATGATTTCTTCATTTCCAAGGATGTATCTTATAGTGAGGTCCTACTTTAATTAATTTACAAATTACCTATTAATTATTAAATTAAAGAAAAATTTCCGAACCTAAATAAAAATAATTTTAAAAAATTAATTTTTAATTTAAAAACCATAATTTCATGATTTGTATGTTCAAAAAATAAAAAAGCAGAGGCACCAAGAATTAAATAAACAAACAAAGAAAGCAAAAGAAGTAAAGGGCCAAAATTACGAATTTGATTTTCTGCTCTTCGAGAAACTTTTGGAAGTCGGGGTTTTGACAAATAATTTGTTCCTTGGGTTATTACTTTGAAATTTATTAAAGGGAGATAATTCTTCTAATTAATTACCAGCTAAACGGGCAATTGTTTCCCTTCCTCTATTTGCCCATTCATTAACAGGCCGCCAAACAGTCACTAAAGGATTATTCCTTCGATTTTTCCAAAAATATTTTTTATTATTTTTATTTATTTTTGTATTGTCCTCAACTATTTGTTGTTGTAATTGGGTATTTTCTTGAATACTTTCTTCCTCATTTTTATTATTTTCGTTTTCCTCTTCATCAATTATTATTGTTATGTTTGCCTCATTCATTGTTTAATAGAAGCTTAAAAGGATTTTATAATTCATCATAAAACTTTAAATTAAAATTTGTTTAAAAACACTCATATAAAATACAATATGGAAACATTTAAAATTATTTCAAAAAATAAATTAAAAATTAAAAATTTATAAATTAAAAGAGAAATTTATTTTTTCTAAATAAAAATGACCAAAACTGACAAAATTTCGTGCAACAATTTTAATTTTCTTTTTTCATTTCCAATTTTTATTCTCAACATAAAAAGGGCTTTTTACTTCCACTTCCTTTAAAAATCCCAACAAAACTTGAGGGAAAGAATGTCCAGTCAAAAATTTATATTGGAAAATTTCTTCCCCCTCAAAAGCGCGAAGAAAAATAAAAAAGAAAAACAAATAAAAAAGAATTTTGGATGTTTTTTTTTTCTTCCCCAATTTGTGCCCAATTTTGGGGAATTTTGGGGAGTTGGAAGAAAGAATTAACAACAAAATTTATTTAAAAAGGCTGGATTTTCTTTGGGTAATTTTTGATAGAAAAAAGGAAAAAATGGTAAATAAATAAATTTATTTTTATTTTTTGTCAATACAAATTAGTTTTGTAATGTAGATATACTTTTATAGGAAAAATTAATTTTATAAAAATAAATAAAAAAATATTTAATTAAAAAAATATTTAAAAAGCTTGAACAAAAATAAACTTTAAAATACATACATATATGTTTTTATTTCGGCTTAGACTCGGTAGTATAAAATATTAATCCGGCAAAATTTATACTCGTTAAAGAGAGAATTAAATGAAGTTTCTAATAAAATAACAAATTTAACTGAGAAAATGGTTACTAAATTTCATTTCAGATACTCTTGCCCCCCTATCTTTATGTCGATGACTGTATATATTAAGGGGTTTTTATTAAACTTTTTTTAAAACCTAATAAAATTTGAAACAAAAGCTTCTTTAAAAATAATTACTTATTTAAATGTTTAAAATAAATAATTCCAATTTTTATTATTTAACTCAGCATACCCCCATCAAATTTTAATTAAAAACAAAAATATGTATTTAAAACTTTATTTATTAAAAAAAAATTAAAACAATTTTAGGCACATAATTATTCCAAATAAATTAATTAATATCCAAAAATTAATTAAATTTAAGTAATTATTACTGCTATTTTCGATTAAAGAAGAATGATAATTTTTTCGACGTCTTCCATGAAATATTTTTTTCCTTTTATTTTGATTGTTAGTTGATTGAAATAGTAAATTTGTTGAAGAACTTAAAAATAAATAAATTTTTTTAAATATTTTTAAAGAATTCCCCACCCAGACTGACACCAACAAATTTTCTTTAGTTCATTATTTGTTTCTAAACAACCAAAAGAAGAAAGACGCGAAACAGAGCCCAACAAATTTTTATTTGATATTTTGTTTATTTCTCGTTTGTTTTGAATACAAGTTTCTTTCTTTGAATGTTTTGTTGAATTTACTGGAAATTTGTTTTAGTTGTAGGAACCAGTACTTATAAACAGCCCCCCTCTATTAGTGCCTTGTAGTGATCGGAATTTCATTCAGTACAGTCATACCAATGGAAAATACCAATAAAATACCCATAATAACGAAATATAACCAAAATACCGAGAAATACTGTCGGTAGTAGGTTACCGTCCGATCACTAGTTCCTTGGTGGAATATCAATAAATGATAGCTCATTCGATGCGGCTTAACGAGCTAAGTTCAATATATTAGTCAGAATATGTATGGTAAATCGCGCTATCTTATAATTTTTTTGTTTAAGCAAGTACCTACTGAAAGAATTAATCCCGTAGAATTTTGCGTGAGATTACATTCCGGGCCTGTTACTATATGCGATAAGACAGATTTTTGGAAGCAAAAAAAGGAAAAAAAACCCCATAAAAGTAATTTTCTAACCTTTATTTTGAACAAAACAAAATTTACTATTTAATTCTTCAATTAAAATATTTAAGCATTTATTGCAATAATTACAATAATTTTTAGCATTAGTATTTGATTGCCTTCTTCCTCCATTAGAATTTTGAGGTAAATTATTATTTAATAATGAAAGTGAAGTTAATTGGGATTTACTTTTATCAATAATCTTTAAAAATTTTAAATTTTTAATTTTTATTAAAAAACTTTTTTCCTTCTCTTGCCTGTTGAAGTGGCAAAGAGCTATTTCTTTGACGAATGCCGTGTGAGCTAATTACAGCCAAGGGAATTGTTGTGAGAAAATAAAAAAATAATACAAAAATAAATTGAAAACCGATAAACATTTTTTTGAAAAATTGTTATTCGAATTTTAAGTAAATTTTTTATTTTAATTGTTTACTGAAAGATTTAAAATTTAAAAAATTCAAATTAAAAAAAAACTTTGGACCTTCCATCCAATCTCTATTGAACTAATTTTATTAGTAAATACTTTTTAATAAAAAGTATAGTTTCTAGTGAAATTTTTTGGGTATTAAGAAGGTGAAATCTAATTTTTATTAATGAAAATATTATTGGGGAAATTTTATTAAACGTGAATTCTTTTAATTCTTTTATTATCTAAAATGTTTTCAACAAAATTATAAAAATGTAACTTAAAATAAAATTAAAAAATTATTTGTTAATTTAAAAAATTAAGATGAATATAAAAAAGGAAATTATCTTAAAATAAAAAAAATTTCTAAAATTAACAAAATACTCACGCATTTTTAAATACTCAAAAATAAAAAATTAAACAAAAAATTATTTTCACTCCTTTTTTTAGAAATAAAAAAAGAAGAGATTCATTTGGCACGAACATTCAATATATTCGAGGAACGCCGACTAGTTAAATATATTTTCAAGAGGAATTTAGAAAATAAAAGAAAAAAAATTGAAAGCCTTGAAAAGATTAATATTTTATTTATTCTGCTAAAAAAAAAGTAAAGAAAAATAAAAAAAAAAGTTTTTAAAAGGAATTTTTGATACTTGACTTTTAATAAATAAATAAAATTATCTGCAAAAATAACTGAATAATTTCAGGATATTTCATAGGGAAAATAAACTAGCATAAAATATCCTCTTAAGCCTGAAAATTTATTTCTTAAACAAAGGTATACATCAGGGGTTGCCGAAACAAATTTTAAAAAGCAAAAGACGAAACGTCATAAAAGGCAAAAATAAGGCGAAAGACGAAACGGCACATCCCTTGTATATTTACATGTCTAGTAGATGGTTTAGTATTTACAATAAAAATCCGTCCGACTGAATATATAAAAGAAAAATTTAAAAAAAATTAAAAAACTTTTAACTTTCAGTTCTTCATAAAGATTAGATAAATTTCCTTAACATTTATTTTATCCACTAATTTTATTTATCATTTATCTTCTCTACATATTAAATTTTAATAATTATTTTGTAAATAATAATTAACAAAATGTGTGAAATTTAAATTATTTTTCTTTCTCTCTTAAATATTTATTAGGGTTGTTCACTACCGGTTATTAACCGGTACCACCGGTTTTCGGTTTTGACCGGTTTACGACCCCCGGTTTTCGGTTTCGGGTTTAGACTGACCTCCAGTTTTCGGTTAACCTAAACCGGTTTATGCCTGAATTTTTCATCCAGAATATCCAATTCTTATTTTAATCAATTAAAATGTAGTAAAGCAGCTGGGCTATAGCCATTCCTCTCCTTTAACTGGTGCAAAAGGTTATTCGGCGTCTCGGAGCGAACCAGCATCTTCAGTAGACATGGACTGATGTGTGTATGTTTTTTTGTTATTTTAATTTTGAAAGAGCATTAGCCTAGAATTCATATATTTAAAAATATTAATTACTTTTTTAAAAGAAATAGTTTTCCGGAGCCTGTCCCCGGCACTGACTATACCCAGCTACGAGCCAGATTTTATCTTTTTTTAGCGCCGCAGGCGAAAATTTTGAGAATTTTGGAAGGCCGGAGGCGAAAAAATTCAGTCTTTGACACCGAAGTATAAGGCCAAAAACAGATTTATTCCTTTTTAGCAGCGCTGCCAAAACTTTTAGAATATTTAAAATAAAAGTTAAAAACT